ATTGGGCCCCCTGTTTTGGGTTTTCGCTGGTACACAAACGTCTGTTTTTTGTTGTCAAAACCCCCCTGTCATGTCTATCCTCTAGCTCTCTGCTCGGGAAGAGAGCCACAAACTGCTTGTCATCACATTTACTATATCTTCAAGCAAGTTACACTTTTTGGGTTTTTTTGGGTTATCCTAGGAAATTTACAATGTTATTGTATTTACGTCCCGTGAGACAGAGATAGACAGACAGAAAAAAATAAGACAACTGACACAAAGATAGACAAGAGACAGAGACAGACAAGTATTTTAAAGTACAGACAGAAAAATTGGAGATAGAGCCGGCCGCCACAGCCGGGCCAGCTAGCCAGCCAATCACCCAGTCGGGCAGCCAGCGCAACCTCCCCCACCAAATTTTTTCTTTTTACTTAGGGAAAAAAGGTTTAAGACATTCTGAAAGGGTGTTGCACAAATATTGAATGGGTTATTATCAAGGTTTTTGATATTTCCTCGACCCTTGGGCCACATCCCCCTAAAAGCCACTAAACCGGGTCAAAATCATTTTCCTCTTAAAATAAGTGTTAATATACATACATCGTGAATCTCAGGTATTTCTTTTCTGTTTGCTCTGCGGGCATAAATTGAAGGGTGCTCCCACAAGGGCAAAAGTGGTCCCAATTTTTTTAAATCCCAGACACGGAGGTTAAAACCCATTCTTGCTGACAGGAAACTAGGCCAATCGTGCCAAATTTAAAGGGCAGGGAAAAAAAAACGTATTTATTTGGGGCACTAGGGAAAAAACGTATAAATGTTTGGACCCTTTACGGGTTAATAAAAACATTTATTTCATTCATGTTGATTTGGAAAATGCGTTCTTTTAAAAAAGAATTTTCTTTTCCTGATTACTCACCCATTTTAATAATTAAAATTTTTTTAAAAAAATTTACATTTTTCATAATTTGTATTTTATTCAAAATCCTTACATGATAGAGCAAAATGGTTTTGATATTTACAATCGTAGCCCCAAAAATATGTAAAAATCGCAATAAATAAAAACAAAAATTAAAAACATTTAAATGAGCCCAAATGTTATATTTATTTTTTCTGGGGTTTCTTCCATAAAATGGGCAGGGGATTCCTTCAGAGAAAACTGATAGCTAATGCCATGCCCGGGGTCATTTTAATTTCATTAAAATTTTTCTTATTTTTAACCCAAATTTTTACATTTTCCTCTCTTTCACCACATCACTACCCGCAGTACACTGTATGTAAAGGGATGGGCAAACAGTGACATGGTCCTCAGACAAACACAGAAATTAAAACTTAACAAATCCCCAGGCCCTGATGAACTGTTTGCAAGGGTTTTAAAGGAATGTAAAGAGGAACTTAGTATACCTTTGGTAATCTTTTCAATACACACTACAAACTGGCTAGTAAAAGTGGGAAAAAGGCAAAAGTAATATTATTTACCAGGCAGGTGACAGGTCTTTAGCTTCGAACTATAGACCAATAAGCCTTACCTCCATAGTTGGTAAATTTATGGAATCCATAATTGCCGAAGCAATTATAAATTGATTAATGAATCTCAACACGGTTTTACAAAGGGGCGTTCCTGCCTTAAGAATTTACTAACTTTCTTCATTAAGGTATTTGAGGTAGATCATGGTACTGAATATGATATAGTGTGTAAGAGGCTGTTGAGAAAACTTAAGGCACACGGAATAGGAGAAATTTTTTTCCTGGGTAGAGGTATGGTTGACAAATAGGCAGCAGTGTTTGCATAAATGGGGGAGAAATGAGAATGGGGGCAGGTCACAAGCGGTGTTCCACAGGGGTCAGTGTTGGGCCCCTTGTTGTTCACAATTTACATAAACGACATAGATGAGGGAATAAATAGCGACATAAGCAAATTTGCTGATGACACCAAAATAGGCCATCCAATTCATTCTAATGAGGACATTAGAGCACTCCAGGATGATTTGAATAGACTGATGCAGTTGTCGGAGAAGTGGCAGATGCAGTTTAATATAGACAAATGCAAAGTTCTAAATGTTGGGCAGGAAAATAACCATGCCACATATAAACTAAATAATGTAGATCTTAACATTATGGATTGCAAAAAGGATTTAGGAGTTCTGGTCAGCAGTAATCTGAAACCAAGACAACAGTGCATACGTGTTCGCAATAAAGCTAGCAGAATCCTCGGCTTCATAGCAAAAAGTATAAATAACAGAACCCCTCAGGTTGTTCTTCAACTCAGTATATCTTTGGTTAGGCCTCGTTTAGATTATGCTGTGCAGTTTTCGTCACCGTATTACAGAATGGACATAAACGCTCTGGAAAATGTACAAAGGAGGATGACAAAGTTGATCCCATGTATCAGAAATCTTCCTTATGAGGATGCACTGAGGGCCCTGAATCTGCACTCTCTAGAAAGGCGTAGAATTAGGGGGGATAAGATTGAGGTGTATAAGTGGAAAACAGGAATTAATAAAGGGGATGTAAACAGCGTGCTAAAAATATCTGGCATAGACAGGATTCAAAGCAATGGTTATAAATTTGAAAAATTCAGATTCAGGAAGGATATAGGAAAGCACTGGTTTGGTAACATTGGGAGAGTGGACAACTCCCAAGTCCCCCGGCCGTAAAGCTAAGAGTGTGTAGTTTTAAAAATGGGTTTGGGTAAATAAAAGGGGAGTGAGTGTGGGTGGGGTGAGTGGACCTGACTAGCTTGTGCTACTAGGTCACATCCCCGTCCCCTTCCTCCTTAAGGAAATAACTGCCCTGACTAGGTCAGGCTTTGGGTTTAAGCCGTGGAAATTTGGGGACCGCCTCGCATGCGCCGCATGCTGCTGCGTGTTCCTTCTTTCTTAGTTTTTAACCCCTTTGACCTTTTTGGCGATATACATCCTATGAGCCATGTCTCAGACATTTTAACCCTTTAGGGTCCCCCCGAAATTTCTGGGTTTTACGGTGAGCCCAAAACCGTGATCTTGCCAGGGCTCACTCACTCGATAAACTGTGAGGGGTACTTTGGGCCTAAATGAGAAATACATCTAGTGGTATTGTGCCCCACTAAAACAGATCCTCAGCACACTCTGTAAATGAAGTAAAACTAAAATCATGTTTTTTTCGATTAAAACGAATTTGCAGTGTTTTTGATGTTTTTTATATTTGGGTATTTGCGATTTCTTGGTCTAATTTTCATAGAATGGAGACATATTACAGAATAGGATGATTGGTTGTTAGCACTGAATCTTAAAAGCTAGAATTAGGGGGGTAAGATTTGAGGTGATATAAGGAACAACAGGAATTAATAAAGGGGGTGTAAAACGTGCTAAAAAGATATTTGCATATGACAGTATTCAAAGCAAATGGTTTATTAAATTTGAAAAATTCAATTCAGTGAAGGATATAGGAAAGCAATGGTTTTTGGTAACAGCTTAGTGGATGATGGAACAAGAAACTCCAAGTTACGTCGTAGGAAGCTAATGACGATTGTGTAGGTTTTTAAAAATAGGTTGGCCAATAAATACACGATATGAGTGTGGGTGGGTGTTGAAGTTGGACCTGGACTAGCTTGTGCTACTAGATCACAGCCTGCCTCCCTAAGTGAATATAATGACTTGATTAGGTCAAGCATTGGTAAGTTAAGCGGATGGGATGAATTGGACCTGCCGCATGCACCAGCATCCTGCTGCAGTGTTCCTTCTTTGTTTTATGTTCTTAAAAACCCTTTATGACCATTTTGGTTATATACAATCTTGACCTAGGTGCAGTGTCCGATTGCCGGACCCTGAAAGGGTTAATACGAATAAATTCTAGAGGCTTCAAATCAAGCAGGAGAAAGCTGGTAGGCCCACATGTGAGAGAATGAGTCTGTGTGGTCAATGTGCACCACATAAAAAAATTTCTACAGTATGCAGTGCATAATGAGAAAAAAAAACTGACCATTTTTTGGGATTAAAACGCCGACTTTGAGGTGTATTTTAGTATAGTATTTATCGTTGTATTCTCGTTTTCATGGTCTCACGTGATAATATGGAAAACATATTACAGAAATAGAGATGATTTTGATTAGTTTCACGAAGAAGAAAACCTTGAAATTGAGCTCAAAGTAGCGGAAATGTTCGATTTTTACCAATGCTCAGGAGTAAGCAAATCACACCACACGTCCAATACACATCAACTGTGGAGTCTAATATTCTTTCACTGGTACACTGATATCATTTATACCATTTTTATAATAATGCAGTAGTCTGCATAACAGTAAATTTTGTATTTTTTGTATGAATAAAAAATCAAAATAGGAAGCAATAGTAATATAAGAGGGGCCTAGAGACGTGGCTAATGAACAGAGGATATGTTATTTTAGTGCCAAGAATGTCTAAATTGTTTATTCTGGACCCTATTTTGAAATTGGCATCTTTTTTAATTTGTGTGAAATTGGCCAAATTACCAATTTCTGATCACTTTATTGGGTGATTAGTAAATGGGCAGTTTCTTGTACTCAACTGATAGAAAAAAATGGAGTTCTAAAGAAATAGCTATGAGTTTGGTCAATTGGAACAATGGAATTGGCCAAAAACAGGGCTCAAAGTCGGCAAAATTGCCGATGAGTATATATCGCCGAGACCGCTAACTTCACGGGAGCATAATTCAATGAGTTTTCGACTAAATTTTGTACTTTTGGTGTCATTTCGTAAGAAATTTTTTTTTTTTTCCCAAAAATTTTGCGACATAGAATGACGGTTTCAGAAAGGGGCTTGCGACAGTCAAAGGGTTAAAAATCCAGAGACAAAACAGTGTGATGCAAAGATAGAAAATGGAATGATAAACACAAGGGTGTGGGATGATGTGTATGGCCAGCTAGTTTGGTCTCTCTACAGATGTTGTACGCCCATGGTCTTCATCTATTAAATCTGTGGTTTCGTGATGAATCCATCAAATAATGTGAGCTTTCTATACATGCAGAGAATGACCATACACAAGTATGATGCATTTGGTTAAAAACTAACAAAGAATAAATACTTTATTTCAACCTTAATAATACAAGGCATACGTGAAGTATGAGTGCATTTGGTAAAAAAATGATTGAGCAACAAATGTTTTTCATAATTCAGATATCCAAAATGGTTTATTAAAAATATACAGATGGTGAAAAAAATGATCATTTACATCAAAAGAAGGAAATACGATACAAAATTTCAACTGTGATGTATTGGTAATATGGTGCCTGGACAAACAGAATGTAGAGGCTTACTGCACATCTAAAACTCATAACCACTTAAAAGAATATATATAAAATACTGTAAATAATCTAAAGAAAAACTATTAGCAAAAACATAAAAAGTTTATTGAATTACTCATGAATCACTGGTGACATTGCCAATTTCTTTGGGGGCAGGCTCCAGTCGGTGTGCTACTCCCCCACCACGGGCATCTGACCACGACACTAGTGTATCTCTAACTTTAGCAATGCCATTTACGCTGGCATATGGCAAGTCAAGTGCTTTGAAGGTATAGTTCATTTCACCCAACTTGTTCCGAACTAAACCAGGAATACGATCAGCACTTCGTAGATCTAAAGGAGAAAAATTTCATAAAGAAAATAAACACAGGAAAATAATGAGGCATCCTGTGACAGGAACATTTAATGAAGTATGTTAGGAATAAATAATGTGCACTATATGAACAATATAGCACAGTAGGGCCCCACTTATACAGCAGGTTAGGTTCCAGGCTACCGTCGAAAAGCGAAAATTGACATAGTGTGGAACACCCTTTTTTTTTCACTTACGAATGCATATAAATACTAAATAACAAGTTTACACTAACATACATTAAGTTAGCAATAGAACTAGGCATTAAAAATTAAAATACACATATAGTACACTCATTACTTACCTTAAAATGTTTGTAGTCTTAATGTAGGGCGAGATGAGTAGTATTTATTGTAAGAAATCAAGTGTGGTATGTATGGTAGCCAGTCAGGATACCATACCTACCATACCAGGCCACCCCACCCACACATAATATTCTATGACATTTAAAGTGTCCCAGAGCAATAAAATGATATACAGTTCACTAATTATTTACCTTAAAATATTTGTAGTCTTAATGTAGGGTAAAAAGTGAGTAAATTAGATAAAATGAATAAATGAGAGAGAGAGAGAGAGAGAATGAGCACAGGCATGGAGTTATGTAAACAAACCAGGCAAATGTGTCTGGTTTGTGTACAAGTTACATTGTGTACAGGTTGTCTCCTGGAGTTTACCTGGAGAGAGTTCCGGGAGTCAAGGAACCTGCGGCCCGGTCTGTGATCAGGCCTCATGGTGGACCAGAGCCTGATCAACCAGGCTGTTACTGCTGGTTGCATGCAATCCAACGTACGAGCCACAGCCCAGCTCGTCAGGTACCGACTTTAGGTGCTTGTCCAGTGCCTGCTTGAAGACAGCCAGGGGTCTATTGGTAATCCCACTTATGTATGCTGGGAGGCAGTTGAACAGTCTTGGGCCCCTGACACTTATGGTGTTGTCTCTCAATGTGCTAGTGACACCTCTGCTTTTCATTGGGGGGATGTTGCATCGTCTGCTGAATCTTTTGCTTTCGTAGCGAGTGATTTTCGTGTGCAAGCTTGGTACTAGTCCCTGTAGGATTTTCCAGGTGTATATAATCATGTATCTCTCTTGTGAGCACAGGTTCAGGAGCTTCAAGCGCTCCCAGTAACTGAGGTGTTTTATCTCCGTTACGCGTGCTGTGAAGGTTCTCTGTACATTTTCTAGGTCAACAATTTCACCTGCCTTGAAAGGTGCTATTAGTGTGCAGCAATATTCCAGCCTAGATAGAACAAGTGACCTGAAGAGTCATCATGGGCTTGGCATCCCTAGTTTTGAAGGTTCTCATTATACATCCTGTCATTTTTCTAGCAGATGCGATTGATACAATGTTATGGTCCTTGAAGGTGAGATCCTCCAACATGATCACTCTCAGGTCTTTGACGTTAGTTTTCCGCTCTATTTTGTGGCTGGAATTCGTCTTATACTCTGAAGAAGTTTTAATTTCCTCATGTTTACCATATCGGAGTAATTGAAATTTCTCATCGTTGAACTTCATATTGTTTTCTGTAGCCCATTGAAAGATTTGGTTGATGTCCGCCTGGAGCCTTGCATTGTCTCCAATGGAAGACACTGTCATGCAGATTCGGGTTGTCATCTTCAAAGGAAGACACGGTGCTGTGGCTGACATCCTTGTCCATGTCAGATATGAGGATGAGAAACAAGATGGGAGCAAGTGCTGTGCCTTGTGGAACAGAGCTTTTCACTGTAGCCGCCTCAGCCTTTACTCTTTTGACTACTACTCTTTGTGTTCTGTTTGTGAGGAAGTTATAGATCCATCTGCCAACTTTTCCTGTTATTCCTTTAGCACGCAGGGTTTTGCAAAGTCTGTATATACTACACCTGCATTCTTTTTTGTCTTCTAGTGCATCTAGGACCTTGTCATAGTGATCCAGTAGTTGGGACAGACAGAAACGACCTGCTCTAAACCCATGTTGCCCTGGGTTGTGTAATTGATGGGTATCTAGATGGGTGGCGATCTTGCTTCTTAGGGCCCTTTCAAAGATTTTTATGATATGGGATGTTAGTGCTATTGGTCTGTAGTTCTTTGCTCTTGCTTTACTGCCCCCTTTGTGGAGTGGAGCTGTGTCTCTTGTTTTAAGTAACTGTGGGATGACCCCAGTGTCTATGCTCTCTCTCAATAGGATGTTAAAAGCACGTGATAGGGGCTTCTTGCAGTTCTTGATGAACACGGAGTTCCACGCGTCTGACCCTGGGGCAGAGTGCATGGGCATGTCATTTATCGCCTGTTCGAAGTCATTTGGCATCAGGATAACATCAGATAGGCTTGTGTTTACCAAATTCTGTGGCCCTCATAAAAAATTCATTTAGAGCTACGACTCTCAGTCCGGTTAGCGGCTTGCTAAAAACTGAGTCATATTGGGGCTTGAGTAGCTCACTCATTTCCTTGCTATCATCTGTGTAGGACCCATCTTGTTTAAGTAGGGGCCCAATACTGGATGTTGTTCTCAACTTTGATTTGGCATAAGAAAAGAAATACTTTGGGTTTCTTTCGATTTCATTTATGGCTTTTAGTTCTTCCCGCGATTCCTGACTCCTATAAGATTCCTTTAGCTTTAGTTCGATGTTTGCTATTTCTCTGACCAGTGTCTCCCTACGCATTTCAGATATATTGGCCTCTTTTAGCCGCTCTGTTATTCTTTTCTGTCGCCTGTAAAGAGAGCGCCTGTCTCTTTCTATTTTACATCTACTCCTCCTTTTTCTTAAAGGAATATGCCTTGAGCATACATCGAGTGCCACAGAGTTAATCTGTTCTAAGCATAAGTTGGGGTCTGTGTTGCTTAGTCTATCTTCCCAGCTTATATTGTTTAGGACTTGGTTTACTTGGTCCCACTTTATGTTCTTGTTACTGAAGTTGAATTTGGTGAAGGCTCCCTCGTGACTGATCTCCACATTGATATAGTAGAATTAATAAAGAGCAACACTCCCATTCTCATGTAACCATTTTTAGAAGAAATGATGCTCTGAGTGAAGGCATACGAAAGGAATAATTTTCTACAGTTACTTCCATAATATTATAGTGTACACATTTTCTCTGATGTTGGACTAGAGAAAATGTTACTCTTGTCACTCGTACAAGTTGTCTGGCTACCACACCTCATATTTATGTTAATTTATTCTACTGTGGGGTGTATTTATCATGTTTATATGTTATGTATTGTGTTTATTATATAATTTGAAAAAAATATCATAGATGGATTAATGAAAATGTGTATACAGTGGACCCCTGGTTATCGGCTGTAATCCATTCCTGAAGGTCGGCTGATAACCGAAATGGCCAATAAGCGAATTAATGTTTCCCATAAGAATTAATAGAAATTAATAGACAAAAATATTCACAAAAAAATCATTTTTTTTTTTTACAATTATGTGAGTATTACATACCTTCATTGAAGGCTAATGCTGGCTTCTGGAAGATAGAAAAGAGGAAAGAGGGAGGAGTTAGTGTTTGGAAGAGGAATCCCCCTCAATGAAGACTTCAGGTAGTATGTAATGCCTTCTCTGGGGTTACTTCCCTTCTCTGTCTTTTAATGCCACTAGAACCAGCTTGAGAGTCGCTGGATCCCTGTCTCACAAAATAACCGTCCAGAGTGCTCTGTTTCTGGCGTCTCTTTAAGATTTCCCTGAAGTGGGACAGGGTTTTGTCACTAAACATGTTGCAGACATGGCTTGTTTCAGCTTTGTCAGGCTGGTGTTTTTCTACAAAAGCTTGCACCCTGGTCCACATTGCACACACTTCTTTAATCTCTAAAGAAGGCACCTCCTTCACTCCCTCTTCCTCCTCCTCTGAAGCAAGTTCCTCAGCTGCAATCTGTTGCTGTTCAAGTTGAAGCTCTTGCAGCTCTTCAGTGGTAAGATCTTCCCTGTGGTCCTCCACCAACTCTTCCACATCCTCACCACTCACCTCCAACCCCAGGGACTTCCCCAAAGACACAATAGAGTCCACAGGGTCGGCAGGGTCAGGGTCACAGTGAGTCTCAAACCCTTAAAATCCCTCTATTGGACACAATCTGGCCACAGTTTTCTCCAAGCAGAGTTCCAAGTCCTGGAAGTCACTCCCTCCCAAGCCTTACCTATAAGGCTTATGCAATGGAGGATAGTGAAGTGATTCCTCCAGAACTCTCTTAGGGTCAACCGAGTGTCCGAGGTCACTTCAAAGCACTTTTGAAATGCTGCTTTTGTGTAGAGTTTTTTGAAGTTAGAAATGACCTGCTGGTCCATCGGCTGGAGGAGAAGAGTGGTGTTAGGAGGCAAGAATTTCACTTTTATAAAACTGAAGTCCCTAAACACTTGGTCTTCCAAGTCTGGAGGATGTGCAGGAGCATTGTCCAGTAACAGGAGGCACTTGAGTGGCAATTTCTTTTCCTGGAGGTATTTTTTCACACTTGGGCCAAACACAATATTAACCCACTTTCCACATCACACACAATCTATTCTTCATGACATTGTTTTCCTTGAACACTCTGGGATTTCCTGAGTCATACACAGGTAAAGGCTTCACTTTGAAATCCCCACTAGCATTGCCACACAATAAAAGAGTAAGCCTGTCTTTCATAGGCTTGTGTCCTGGTAGTGCCTTTTCCTCCTGGGTAATGTAGGTCCTGTTTGGTATTTTCTTCCAAAACAGGCCTGTTTCGTCACAATTGAAAACTTGTTGGGGTTCGAATCCTTCAGCCTTTACATAGTCCTGGAATTCGTGAACATACTTTTCAGCTGCACATTTGTCAGAACTTTCAGGCTTACCATGCCTTACAACACTGTGTATGCCACTACACTTCAATCTATCAAACCATCCTTTGCTGGCCATAAATTCACAAACTGCAGCACTTGTTTCAGGCATTTTCTTTGCAAGATCCTCATGCAACTGCTTTGCTTTCTCACAAATAGTAGACTCCACAACACTGTCTCCCACTAATTCTTTTTCCTTAATCCACAACAATAATAA